TGATTTCCTGGTTGTTTAGTCTCTACTGCTGTTCCTGATTCTCTCCAGTGCTGCTCTGCCCTGTTTTTAGGTGCCTTTGATTTGCTTATTTGTGCTGTGTAAAATGTAACATTCTGATGATGCTACTTGTGTGTATCGGTTGTAATGCTTTGTTGCCCTTATGTAACTGTTTATTTTAAGACTAAGTGTTCTTTGTTGCACCGCGTGGAGTTGCAGCAAGTTACAGCAGCTGTGTCCTTGTTGTGCTCTTTTCCGTGCTTTTATGAAGTTCTGCTCTTATGTGTCTGTTCTTATGGTGTTATGTTGGTTGTTCTCTATTGCTGCTGTAACACAGAAATTTCCCCACTGTGGGATCAATAAAGTACCTACTCTACTCTACTCTAAAGTGTATTTTTAACTGGTTGTTAAGATATCTGGTAGGGAGCAAGAACAAGGGAAAAACAATCCTTTAGATTCTCTTTACTACACTGCCAGGATCTAGGCCAATAGGCAATAATTGTTGATCCAGGTGCAGTTCTCCTTCTCCCCCTGAAAACCATGCCTTTTTGCCAGTATTTACTTAAGCTCACGTTTGTGCTGGCATCTCACTTTGCTCAATTCAGCTGTAAAAGTCTTGTATGTCTTTAAACATGTAAGGTGTGAAAGTCCACTGGATTTTATTGCCCCTTTGATGTAAGGAATGCTACATACAAGCTGAAAACTGACTTCAACTGCTCTCTACTGTGCCTGTATCTGTCATTATGTGAAGGATAAATGTGGGTTCATCATAAACTAAATCTGACCTGAGAGATCTGAGAAAACAAGCATTTCCTTCCCCTGTGGAGTCACTGATCCAGAGACAGACCAGGCAGTATCAAGTGACTGAGATGGAACCCCTGACAGCGTCAAGTGTTGACCACCAGTCACATCTTCCCACCAGACCTTCAACTACACACAGCCCCCAGGCAGACAGGCTGCCCATTTGACAAACAGCAACTTTATGAATGCTGTGTGATAATCAGTGACACAGACACAACTCAGAGATAAGAGCTGGGGGAGGAATGTAGTGTTGCCATCATTTATTACTATCATCATATAGTACTGGTGATGGTTTAATAAGAGTTAGAGCTGTTCCAAGTACTGCCCTGGTTTTCTCACAAGTAAAGCCACTCATTATCAACCTCAGATAACACAGGGCTAAAACGCAGATTCCTAAAATAGAGCTTCACAAACCCCTGGGGTCTTTTAAAACTTTCCACATTGTGCCCTTCAGCCTGATGACTGTTTAGTTTCTTTATAAGCCGAATTCTGTCAGTAGATGTTTCCTTCTTCCACCCAAGAGGAATGAATGAAAATCTTCTCCTCAAATCCAATTCTAAAGGCTTTAGACCATGACAAGGAAAAAATCTTATATCCCATGACCTGAATGACAAAACGTATTAAATGTGCACGACAGTGTCATTTCTCCTTCTTCGTCATACACACCCAGTAATAAACACAGCCACACTTACACACACACATGCAGAGAGAAAGGTCTGGATTACAAACAGCCACATTACAGCTCACTATCACTAATTAATTACAAACCAATTATCTGACGGCACTGACCGCTTTTTCACCCCGGGGGATTAGTGGATGGTAAACATCTGCATTCTGCTTCCCCACCTGTTTATCCACAGGAACAGGTTTACCCAGCTTTTAAAGCGAATAGAGCCATAAGACAGATAGCAGAATAAAGTTTGTATGAGCACGAAGACTTTGTTTACGCGCCTTTCTATTCACCAACACGTTCCTTTTACACTTTTTGGTTATAAAATTAATAAAGTAAAAAGGGAAAGAAAGCAGCCAGCGAGCGCTGAAACTAAGGATGACTTTGCCACAGTCACAACAGCCCAAAGAAGTTTACAAAGGACGTGGGTTAGACTAGTTCTACACACCAGAGCATAATTTTAGGTGTAACCTTTACAAAGGACGTGGATTAGACTAGTTCTACACACCAGAGCCATAACTTCAGGTGTAACCTTTACAAAGGACGTGGATTAGACTAGTTCTACACACCAGAGCCGTAACTTCAGGTGTAACCTTTACAAAGCACGTGGGTTTGACTAGTTATACACACACCAGAGCCATAACTTCAGGTGTAACCTTTACAAAAGGACGTGGATTAGACTAGTTCTAAACACCAGAGTGATAACTTCAGGTGTAACCTCACCCTGCAGGTCTTTGAATTAAAAGCTAACCTACATGTGAGGTTCCTATTCAAACATGACATATTGACTTCCTTTGTAAAAGCAAGCTCCATAAACTATATGCAGTCTACTCTGAAAGGTGTTCCTACCACTTTATTAACGAGGCTTACCTTGGAAAAGAGTCGCGGCGCTCACGAAAGCCAGCAACACGAAAGCCGCCGAACGCATCTTTATAAAGTCGCTGTCAGGGTTTATGGACACCGCTGGTGAGCTTCTGGAAATGAGGAGAGGAAGTCTGTGTGAGCTTTACAAATACAAGCCACAGATATGTCACTACTATTCGGTAGAGCTGTGGAAAATCCAAAAAAAAAACACCCAAGTCTCCCAGTGAGACGGCGCATGTGAAATACAGCCTGCAAAGCGAGAGCAGGCTACAAAATGAGGAGGAGGAAGAGGAAGCTCGGGACTTTTGCCCGTATGTCACCTTGAGGTGCTATCGGAAATACGGCCACTCCCAGGTGCTCTAGAATGTCAGCAAAGAGAAAGGCTGCAACTGAAGGTGGAACTACATTTTTGTCTTTTCAGAGTAGGCTGACATTAGGCTATGTTATATTCACGAAACAAAAGTATCTACAACAACATTTCTGGACTGGGCTGTGGCCTAGAATAATAAATTCTCAGTATCACTCTGGCAACAAGTGGAAACAGAGGTGATAACAGACAGATTAGTAGCGGTTCTGCTTAATTTCTGGGCTGCAGACTGATACAAACCTCTAAGGTCATTGATATGGAAATATATTTGTCACTTTATTGAAACATTCAGTTTATTAAAACATTTATCACATATACTATGTATTTTCCCTTTCCTCTGGGAACTTCCAAGTAGATGTAACACATACAGTCACAAGAAAAAGTAATGTCACTTTTTGCAATTTCCTGGTTTTCTGCATAAAATGGTCATGAAATGTGATCTGATCTTCACCAAAGTCACAAATATCAACAAACACAATATTTCTAAGCTGATAAAACAGACAGTCATGATCTTTCCTGTCCTTATTGAACACACACATTAAACATGATGGCAGAAAAAGTATATGGCAGTACTTGGGTTCTGGTGTCACTAAATGTCAGCTGGAGTCATGTGTTGGCAAACCTGGAGTCCAATCAATGAAACAAGAATGGAGGTGTAGTTTGGAACTACCTTGCTAAACATCAACTGCAGTCTGGTGTTATCAAACCTGGAGTCCATCAATGAAATGAGAACGGAGGTGTGGTTTAGAGCTACTTTGACAAAAAAAGACTCAAGCAGTGTCAGTGTGCTATCTCTCTTGCCACTGTGGAGGGAAAATAAATTCCCAGGTTTATCCAGGTGTCCTACAGGATGATGTCAGGGTGGCTGTCTGCAGGCTGAAGCTCAGAACAATCTGGGTGATGCAGCAGGACAATGGCCCTAAACACTGAAGTAAATCTACTACAGAATGGCTTCTGAGACACAAACTCCACCTTTTGGAGTGGTCCAGTTCGAGCCCAGACCTCAACCCAATAGGGAGGAGATGGACTCACCTCAAGAGAGCTGTTCACACCACATGTCCTAAAAATATACCTGAGCTGAGACAGTTCTGTGAGGAAGAATGGCTCAAATTCCCTCCTGAACATTGTGCAGGTCTAATCCACAGCTACAGGAAGTGCTGGCTTGAGGTTACTGCTGTTAATGGTGGTTCAATCAGTTATTTAAACTGGCTTGTTAAAAAGTGTATTCATTAAAGTGCCTGTTTATAATAAAAGTGAATTTCCTGTAGCTCTGATTTGGTAAAACAAAGCTAGTTTACTTAAATTTTAGAGGGATGAAACAAACTGGCATTGGGTCCTAAAAAAAGGATGGGCTAACAGTGATATAGGCTACATTTATTATTAAATATCACTATTTCTGATAAAAGATTCCAGCCTACTTTTAAAAGTATTTAAAAGTAGTATTCAGGATTATGTAGTAATGCAAGGTGTTCTATCACTGATAACCAAGCTAGGTTATTTATTCTATTTTGTTGTGAACATAACATGATCTTTCCAAACCCTGAAATCATTCCTGAAAGAGTTTACTGAAAGTAACTTGAACAAGTCTAGACCTTTGATCAAACTAATGGTATATAGATTCAAAACAAGAAAAGTAAAAATTCCACTGAACACTACAAGGAAATAAAGCCGTTATGGCACCTCCTGGTGGACTCACCTAAATAATTAACAACAGACTCTTTATTGATTATATTTACCTAGAAGGTGATAAAATGCTGTGTTTGGGCTTAATCTGCTGGTTATATATTTATTTATTTTTTTCTGGTAAAGCTCACAAAGTCAGTAAACACATTACAAAGCCCTGCACCTTCCACAAATTTTTCTAGTTGTGACGCTTGCTGCAAAGTTGATATGAATTAAATGCTACTAATATCCTTGATGCTGTTCTTCTTCATCTCTCCACAATATCGATATAATGAAAAACTTTTTTGATTGCTGTATTTTATTTGAATATTTCCACAGAGAGGCCAGGGGTCACTTTTAGAACTGCAACCCTGGAACTGGTATGAATTCAATGCTTGATGAAGGACACTTCATCAGCATGGGGTTTCAGCGATGGAGAGATGAGACCAGATGTCAGGCCCGCTTGGCGCAACCTGCCTCTCTTCCGCCTTTTCTCTCCCTGCTCTCTCATCCTGCAGGCTCGGCGCCTCAGCTGTGGCGCATGCTGTAATCAGCCACTTGTTGAGTGATAGGCACAGCTGAGGCGCATTCCTCTAATCAGTTTTCTTCCTTGGGGTGGCTGTGGCTCAGGAGGTAGAGTGGGTCATTTCCTTAACCGGAGGATTAGCAGTTCGATTCCTGGCTTGTCCAGTCAATGTGTCGAAGTGTCCTTGAGCAAGACACTGAACCCCCAGTTGTCACCGGTGTGTGAGTGCTTGGGAGTGTGAATGGGTCGAATAATGAGTCAGGAGACAACTGCCCTACCTCGTGAGCCACAGCCACCCAAGTAAGCTGTAGTAATGCTGTCTCTGTCCCTTGTTTTTCCTGTGGTGTTAGACCCAGCCCCGTCTTTGTTTCAGTTTTCTTGCCCTCATTACCTGCTCCACCCTCTTTGCCCACATTCACCTGCTTCCATCAGTGTAATTGACCATTCTCTATTTAACCCAGCAGCCAACATTTACTCACTGCCAGACTGTCACTGAAGACCATATCTCTCATCACTCTACCATGTTCATCCTTTCTGTGCTTGTCCCCTTTATGACTTGTTTATCCCTTTGAAGTCTGACTCTGCCTGCCCCCTGTTTGAACTGATGGATTAGCAAAAAGTACCCAAATATAGAAACTGCAGTTGTGTCCCAGTTCAGAGCTGAGACCTTTTAGAAAGCATAGTGCACAGAGATTGGTCCATCAGACATCTCAAATGAGCCAGTCTAGCCTCAAAGAACCCAACAGTTCATTATGTTGGCAATTTATTTTACAAGTCACTGAGATAAAGAGAATTGCCTGGCCTGACCTGTCAGTCCTTTTCACAGCAGACATTTTGAAAGGAAAGGAAAGGAAAGGCACAGGTGCTACTAATAACACAATTGTTCATTTTCAGGTGCCCCAGTAAGCCATGTCCAGGTGATAGTGAGCAAGCATGCACACTATCAGGACTCTGAAACTGAAGCAATTCATCTATCCTTCATTTTATTATTTACACATCTTTTTTCCTACAGGTCCAAATATCTGCTGGAAAAATTGAGGGTTATGGTCAAGAAATACACGTTCCAGCCCCTAAGCTGGAACACTGGGTGGGACACAGCAGGTAGTACTATAAAAGGCCAGTTATGATGATCAAGATCAGCCTTACAAGTTGTCAGAGGATGAGGCAAACAAATCAGCAGTTAACAAAAACCAGTCTGATACCACTGGAAACTGTCCCTGTTATGTACAGGGAAGTTGTTGAAGAAGTGATGAGCAGGCAACTGTTAATAAGGGCAGTCAGTTGGCCAATATAGGACAGTAACACACTGAGGACATCTAGTGGACAAGTATGACACCTTGGGAAAGGTACTTAGTTTTAATTATTTCTCTCTTCTCCTCACTTGGGAGCTCTCTCTTGCTCTTCAGGCATACAATAATGATTTTTTTGACTTTACACTTGATCAATTTCTCAGTGAACTGGGGAATAATAAGAAAAAATGATAACAGATAGAATATGATGGTGCAAGTGTCACTGACAGCACCACTGAGCCACAAAAACTAACATAAGGTTTTATTTGCTTAATCCATACAGAGAGGGTTCGTGTGTTAACCTGCCAATTATTCCACAATGCAATGGGTTCTGACTGTTGCATTTGCAAATAATCCAAAGCAGGTGAGGCTTTCACGTGATACAAAACATACTTGAAGTACAAAATGTATGTTGTGTTTTGCTCAACAACTTTTTTGTATGTTGGTAATGTTTAAATACAGAGTATTATGCTGGAGGTGTATAGCATGGTTTGCATGATGTTTTAAAGTGATGTATATAAATTAGACCACGACTCCCTGTTAGTTAAAATTTAGCTCCACATAAAGGAGCTCTACTGTACTGACAATAAAACATACAAATAGAGCTAAACATACAGATAGAGGATAATTGCATCACCATGTCACTGTGTGTCTCCTCTCTCCCATAGTGTGTCCTCTCTCTCTCTCTCTCCCTGTACCTTTCTGCAGGTTGCCCTGGCTTTGGAGCTCTATGTCTCTGATGAGCAGTCACCAGATACATCAACTTGACCAGTGTTTGTTTGTTGTGTCTTGTTGCTTTTCTCCTCTATTGACCTTATCCACATTATTTATGCGTCACCCAAAATACGTGCTTCTGTTCTCCACGCTGACAGTTCCTGTGCTGTGGACTACATTTTGTACGTTAGTCTTTTTTTCGTTCACCTGTCCGTCTTCATCCTCCTGCTCTCCTGATTCCTGCCATTAGTTTGTATTGTCGCGCTCCACTGGTTCGGATGAGCGGAGCTGGTCTGACCCTATCCTATACTGTGACATCTAACTATCCAGCTGTGCCCTGGCACCTAGGCTGATAATGAGGAGAACACCTTCTCTGTCTTTTCTTGGATTTTATTGAACAGAATAGAGAATGCAAAATGAAACTGCTATATACCTGGCACCGTGTGCTCACAGGAAAAATGAATAGCAAAAGGGAAAGCAGTAGTAACACTCACTCAGGACATCCCATGTTCTGCGCCAACTGGCCGCACACACCCACCTGTTACCCTTCTTATACCCTCACACACCTGGCCCTCCCCAAACCTCACATTGAACAGAACAGCACTCCCCAGAAAATAGCGGCAACCAATACAAACACGCTGCTTGGACATTAAGCACCCACTCAACACAGAACAGAGCATGAACACCAGCGGCTGGTCAGGGCCGCCACATAGCCCCCACCCGAGATGCCCCCACATCCCTCACAACATCTAACACAAAGTCCCTTAAATGTCCTGGGACTCGGCGCGGAT